GCCAGGACAGGTCCACAGTGGAGGCAACGATTCTTCAGATTCTGCCACTTTTGAAAGCTGACTTTTGAAAAGACCGGCCAGCTTTTTTTGATTGACTCAGCTCTCACCAAGCAAACATTAGATCACTTCTCGGTGTCAGGGTTACCTTGACACTGGAGAGTGTTTCCTAAGTAACCGGCCTTGTCCTGGGAGCCTCAGAGGCAGGCGCATCCACAGCTCAGCCCGTGGTTGTTGCCCATGGTTGCTGCCCCTGCCTTTGCATCCTCAGAACTGTTGACGGGCTGGGAAGAGATGATGCACGTGGACCATAGCGGAGGTAGGATGGCCGCTTTCCCGTTTCGATCCCTGGAAAGGCCTATCCCTAATTGAAACGAGATACTTTGGTCCCAAATCAGTCGCTTAGTATCTGATTGTCCCTGAGTGAACTGAAAAGATTGAGTTTCTGAAACTGTAATCTCCAAGCAGGATTCCAGCAACTCCAGCGAGACCTCGCTGGACCCCTGATGCCATTCTTTGCTGTCTTTTTAGCTGCAACATAAGTTATTGGGAAAGTTCTTTCAGAAAAATGAAGGGTAAGGCATTTAAAGAGACTTGTAACAGACTCTGAGACGCACAGCCTCCTCCTCACCACCCACTCCTCTCCAGAAGGCTGAAGATGGGGAAGCTGTTCAGATCCTTGGCAAATCTTCAATAAAGTATTCAGATTTTTGGTGTCAAGTGGCTTTTATGGGCTTCTATAAGTAGAGGTAGGTATACCACAGATAATTAGAATGAACAACCCTAATAATAAAAAGTTTCCCAATCTGATTTTCAATCTTTCCTTCTTTAGTTAGATAGCAAGAAATAAATGTGCTAAGATTTCATCGAAACAATCTTATTTCTCACAGCCAAGTAATACATGGGAGGACATCTTATGAAGTATCAGACCTGGGTGGTACCAGCTCTGCCATTTATTCCTACCCTGTGTCAGGTCGCTTCTTATGACAATATATTCTTGTAGAAGGTGAAGGGAGAATGGTGGGAAAAGAGAATTTCTCTTTAAAAAATACAACCATTTACTGAGCTAACCCTGACGACCTTACAGGATATGTGTCATTATCACTCTTTATAGATAAGAACAAGGAAGGGTGAAACAGAAGGAGGACACGGAGGGGTGACACAGAGGGGTGACGTCTACAAAGTGTACGATGAGCCTAAAGTCACACAACTAGAGAACGGGTGAGCCCTTCCGATCTTTCTTCTATTCTATTCCTCCTCCTCTTTCCTCCTTTCCTTCTGAGTTTTACTGTGGTGAAACTTACATACCACAACAGTTATCCATTATAAGTGTACGATAGATACATTTTTAGTAAATTTATCAGATTATGCAGCCATCACCACAATCTGATTTTAGATCATTTTTGTTATTCCAAAAAGTTCTCCCATGTCTGTGTCGATCCTCACTCCTACCCCCAGCCCGGGCAAGCACTGATCTGCTTTCTGTCTCTAAAGATTTGCCTTATCTGGACATTTCATATCAACAGAATTGCACAATGCGTAGTCTTTGATCTGGCGTCTTTCAGGTTGCATAATGTTTCTGAGGTTCATCCGTGTTGTCGCATATGTTGACACTTTGCTCTTTGTTATTGCTAAACAGTGTCTCATGTGTGGCTATCCCAAATACTGCTCACCAGTTCACCCACTGGTGAACTCCTGGGTCGCTTCCAGTTCTTGGCTCTTAGGTATAATGCACATACAAGGGCATCTGTTCGCATACCTTTTCGATACGCACCTCAGGGGGAGAACTGTTGAGTCATACGGTACCTCTGTGTTTAACTTCTTGAGGGGTTTGGAGGAACTGTTTTCCAAAGTGGCTGCATCATTTTACACTCCCGCTGGTGATGCATGAAGCTTCCCATTTCTCCACATCCTCAGCAACATTTGTTATCGTCCATCTTTCTAATTAGAGCCACTCATGGTGGGTGTGAAGTGGTACTTCATTGTGGATTTGATTTGCATATCCCTAATAATGAATTACATCGAGCAGTTTTTCATGTGCTTATTGGCCTCAAGATACCTTCTTTGGAAAAATGTTGTGTTTGAATCCTTTACCCATTTTTAGAGGCGTTGTCTTATTTTTGAATTGTAAGAGATCTTTATATATTCTAGATATAAAAATGAGATAATTTATCCGATATATGATTTGCGAACATTTTCTCTCAATCTGTAGCTTGTCATCTCATTTTCTTAATGGTGTCTTTTGAAGAACTCACGTTTTAAATCTGATGAAATTCAATTGATCATTTCGTCCTCTTACAGAGCATACTTTTGGTGTCATATCTAAGAACTCTGGGCCTAACCCGAGGTCACAAAAATTTTCTCCTATGTTTTCTTCGACAGTTTGATAGTTTTAGCTCTTATATTTAGGTCTCTGATGCATTTTGAATTAACTTTTGTGTATGGTGCGAGGTAAAAATTCACATTCATCTCTTTACATATGGACAACCAATCTCTTTATTTATTAGGGGTTCTTCAGATTTTCTATTTCTTCTTGAGTCTTTTTTTCTTTTCTTCTTCATCCTCTTCATAAAGTTAAAATCCTTTTCTTAAATTTCTGTAGGGTCAATGGCGATGCCCTGCTTTCACTCCTAATTTTGGTAATTTGTATATTCTCTCTTTTGCATGGTAAAGGTCTGTCGATTTTGTTGATCTCAGAGAACTAGCTTTCGGTATCACTCACATTCTCCGTATTCCATTTCACTAATTTCCACTCTTTAATACTCCCTTAGTACTGCTGGCTTTGTTTATTTGCTCTTCTTTCTCTCATTTGTTGAGGTGAAAGTTTCAGTTATTGTTTTTTTACGTACTCCACTCCAAATCAAGTCGGCCCCTCCGACAGGGAGGTGCTGGTCTTCAGGGCTCGCCCTGACCAGGTCGACTTCAGGTTGGGGACTGGAGCCGCCTCAGGTGAGAATGCTACAGAGACCCACTATTCTTACCTGAAGTTCAGTAACTCTTCACCCATAACCATCTCTCATATAGTCAGATTCCAGAGCCATGAGTTGATTGTTTCTGACTATTTCGTCCAGTTTTGTCATTACCTTTTGGGGAGAGGATGTGTCAAGCTCGTCATTTCTGCCACGCCAAAGTCCTGCTTCTAAAGCCCCTCTTCTCTCCTTCACAGGAAATGACATTTGGTTTCATCCCTTACCCCATCTGCTTCTCACAGAATCTGTGTCTCAGGGCAGTATGGGGGCCAAGCTGGTTTAAAAAAAACACTTATGTTGAAAAATACTTCTCTGAGCAAAAAAAAAAAAAAAAATTGAATGCACTTGAGTGAATTGCTCACGACATCCTCAATATTTATAAGGAAGAATGGAAACTGTGCCCCCGAGAACCTGCATTTATAATAGAGAATTCCATTGGCACTCTTTATCATCCACTTTGTAAGAAAGGCAGCAAACGGGTTCCTAATCTTGCTGATCTGACAGACGCTCCTCGCAGGCACTGCGAGGTGGGGTAGGAAGCAGAATCGCAGCGGGAAAACGATGAAGGGAGAGCGGGCCTCTGTGGGTCCAGCAGTTTCAACCTACGTGCTAATGTGATGCGGGCAGAGACTACGCAGCTTCCAGAAGCCAGGTTCTGTCCCTGGAAGGGAAATGGGCCTGATCTTCCTCTCGTCCCTCTGGCATGACAACTGGGAAGGAACAGGGCTGGGACCCAGGGGACATGAGTTCGAGGCTCTGGCTCTGCCACTTTCTCCCATTTAACCTCTTTGGGGCTAAGTTTGCTTATTTGTAAGGTGGGTGTAATAATGAAGCCCTCCTCATACACTTGTTTGGAAGTGGTCAAGTTCAATGATATTCTTTACAAATTATTAATGTGCTATAAATGTAAGGCTTTAAATTATGAATTAGTGCCCTGTCTTGAACGCCCAAGATGCAATGACTAAGAAAGGCACTGCTGATCCTCCTTCCCCTTGTTCTCTGCCTCAGGACACAAGAAGGCTGCTGCCCAGGAGACTACTCACCATACGTTCCCACCATTGCTCCCTTCCCACGAGACGGGGGTGAAGGATGGAGGCAGATGCTCAGAGAAGCATACAACTGTGTTTCAGAACTTGGGGATGGTAGACAGGATGGTCTCTCTATCAAGACCCACATTTGTATCTCTTTATACTGTGGAAACGGGGGTCTTTCGGCTGAGTGAGACAGAGAAGGAAAGCCCTGGTTGCTGGAGGAACACGGTCAGAACCATCTGTGTTAAATGACTTCTCACGCCCAAACCTTACATTCACACCGAGTCATCACGGCCCCTCCATCACGCCTGTCAAATCATCAGTGCACTACAGAAAAGCTCCACATGCACAAGGGCAAACTTTTAACAGCAGTACAAAGCTCTCTTTTTAATTATATAAAAGGACTTTAAAAGTTTGTCGTGCGAGCACTTAGGATTTGTTTTAATGTCTTTAAAATGGAATCGTAGTAGACTTTTTATCCTAAGATTCCAATATCTAAGGAAAAATAAAGCTATTTGTCTCAATATCCATCACAACTATATATCTTTGTTATGCCGCAGTAAAGGAGATTCTGGACCCTAGCCTGGATAAATAAGACGGCGGTGTAAGACGGAACTTTCCCAGGTTTATATTATGGACACTAGTGTCAGGCTACTGTGATTGTAAAGGGGGACAGAGAGCAGCCACCGACAACTACAGAGGTCCCTTCGGACTTGGACACTGGGGTTTTGGGGAAACATCAGAAAACAGAGCTCCATGGAGGCACCTTGGCTGATGGCAGCACCAGGTCACCTTGCCCCTGGCCCGCCGGCCCCTCAGCCTTACTCCGGACACTTTATATCCCTACTCAGGTCATCCAGCCGCTTGGGGGACTCCTCCCTGGTCACTCGTCACTGTCCAGTGCCCTGCCCATCCTGCACGGGCACCGCGGCCTGTCCTGCCATGCTGTGGCTGAGCGCAGGTGGGAAGGGACTGGAGGCTAAGGGCAGGCCTTCGAGGTTACCTATTTGCCTTTCCAGGTCGGCGGCTTCATCAGGCGTGGCTCGAGGAAGGACTCCAGGGTCGCTGAAGCTGGTGCGGAGCAGGGTCCCCATCACAAAGAAGAACAGAATGCCACCAACCACGGGGATGGCCGGGGTGATTTTCACCGCTAGGTACGGGCAGCTGCCAACAGATTGGGAAGGCAGGAGGGGAGGGGAAAAAAAAAAGAAAGATAATGTCAGTAATCAACAGTAAGCAGTCTACACTTTCCAAGACGCCGAAAGCTGCTTTGGAGAAGCAAAATTGATATCCATTAAAAATTCATCTATGCTAAGCATTTACATTTGGGGATTCTCTCTCGTGGACCATTTAACCCTCACTTTCCAGCCACAGCAACCCAGGCCGTCTGCTGCCACGCTGCTACCCAGGAAAGATGCTGGCAGGAGAATGAGAACAACTCTGCTTGTGCGTCACGGAAAGGCGCACAGACCGTTTGCGCTGTAGACGCAGCTCACGAATCTGTACGGCTGTCTCACCCTTCCCTGAAATTGCATAAGTTAAGAAGACACCAGCTTAGAACTGTCTTCATCAGACCCAGCCTTTCGTCATGGGTCAAACGACTGAGGGCACAAAATGCTGAGAACTGCAAATTCACCCTCAAAAAGCAAGAGACCATTTATCAATATTTTGGAGCTAATCTGTCCAAAAGAGGTTAATGAGCTATGGTAATAAACTTGCAGGCCAGTTTCCACAAAGGATGAAAGGGATCGCAGTGGCTGGAATATAACAATTTCATGCTCTTCCAGAAGGCATCTGAGCTGCCATTGATGACCATGGCCCACCTTTCTACGAAGCCCCTTCCTGTCCTTCAGTCCCCATGAGCTGACACACAGCCGGGATCGTGGTGAGTCAGGGAAGAGACACCCTTGGGACAGACTAAAGTTTATTTCCGGCAGGCTCTGGGGGTCCAGGAGCCAGGGCAGCTTTAAGCACCACGCCCTGGCCCACTGTCACTGCCCCTTGATGCCACAAATGTGATGAGAGGCAGAGTGAGAATGAGCTCTATGCCTGGAGCTGAGTGAAGGATGAGATCTGCAATGACCATGGCCCGTCTGTTGTCACCGTATTCAGTAACATCATGGGCGTCAAGGAACAACACGACATGGAATCACAGAATTATAACATCTAGAGTAGAAAGCGTCTCCTAGAGGGCCCACCTCCTCAGGTGACACCCTTCCAGATACAAAAGGCGAAACGAAGAGGAGAAAGGATTGGAAAGCTCTGCCCAAGACGAGGCGAACAGGGGCTCAGCCCTGGTGGTGTAGGGGACCAGCACCCCAGGCCTGTGCAGCGCTTGCAGGGGCGGTGACGAGGTCCCTTATGGGATGGCGAGGGGATATCGGCAAGAGTCGAGGTCTCGAGGACCACAGGCCATGGTCCCCTTTGCTGAGACCAGAAATAAGCAGGTTAAAGCCCTGGGTCCTCAAGAGGCATGGCGACGTGGACCTACGGACTGTCCCCGTGAAGTGAAGACCAAAGGCCCTTCCCGAGTCCCCTGCTCTGCAGAGACCCAGAGACTTCACAACAACTCGAAGAAGGTGGAAAAGTGACCCCAGACATGACTAGGCCAGGTGGTCTCCAAAAGAATCATCTTTTTTAGAGAGACAAAAATACATGACATGTCTAACATCTCTTTCGTCTCCCCCACTCCAACTCCCCTGCAGAAACTGAACAAAACAATCGACGAGAAACAATATTAAGTCACACTTCGGCTAGACTGCCAGTTATGACTTCTTTTCACAGGCTTCATGGGAAACCATAAAAAACCTGTTGTCATTCTTGCATCAATGGGACCCCAACCAGACTCCCAGACACTTAGAGCCTTTCGATGTCCTCAGAGAGTCTTACAGGAGAGCAAATGTGGCAGTGGAGAGGAAGAAGAAATAAAGAACTTGCTGTGAACAACAGGAACATAAGCGTGTCCAACCTCAAGAAATCCCCTCTTGTGAAAGTATTCACTTAAATGATGAAAAGGACTTTTTAAAATCTCATTTCGCTCTGCGTAAGAAAGAGTCCTTGCTTTTCCTCGAGTATTTTCAGGCAAATACTAATATAATTCAGTGGACTTTCAGTTTTTCTAAAAAATCTGATTGTGTGATTTTAGGTACCGAAAAGCTTCAGGTTAAGTAAGCAAACGTTTAAGAAACTGGGGACCTGGACATAGACTAGTGGTTACCAGAGGGGAGGGGTGAGGGAGAAGGGGGAGATAGATGGGTTAAAGGGGGTCGAATATGTGGTGACAGAAAGAAATCTAACTGTGGGAGGTGAACACACAGTGTGAATATATATACGTCTTACTGTTAAAATGTACAGCTGAAACTTACTGGATTCCGTTAACCAATGCCACCGTAAAAAATAAATAAATTTAAATTAAAAAAAATTAAAGAAACTGGGGACACCGTCGTATCTCCTGGATTTATAGAGGGGATGTTTTTCCGCAATGGGGATCTTCTAGTCCTGACAGTGGGAGAGATGATTTTAAATGACGGCCCCACTCAGGGTGCCACCCGCTCACGTGGTCTAGTGCGGAACCTGCGTTTCAGCTTGAGACACGTAGAAAATAAAAGTCTGGCCAGGGAACGACCATCTTCCCTTTGGAGATTTAACATAAAGTGACAATCAAAACCATATCTGTACTGCATAGAACTCAGAATCCTCAACGGGGCTGTCCCCCACCTCCGTGACACGGTGCAGTGCCAGGGGCCACAGACATTCCAGGGCATGTCTGTTTTGTTTAACGGGGCACGTTGCGATGGCAACCTGGAGCTTCTATGAAGAGCTGGTGTCAAAGGTCAATTGCTGCAAGCCTATTGATTAAATAAATCTGATGGTGATATCAACCTTGAGTTAATATCAAGAAACTCAAACTCTGGAAGATCATTAAAAAGCATTTGTGTCATAAAAATGACATTATCTTTGTTACTCTTGTTGTCACATAAAAAGCAACCTTACATTGTATGAAGCCTTGAAAATGAGCTAGTGTATCACAACCAGAAATAAACACAGTCCACACTGAAGCATAAAAATGACCCTGGTACCAAGAGATTTCAATTCATATATATTAATCCTAAAGTATTTTTTTAGTCTAAAAGAATCTACTCGAGATGGGCTTCTTTTTAATGGTTAGGAAGATGATCAACTGTGTAGAAAAGCATTTTCTAGAATTTAAATTCAGAACTCAACAGAAGAACGCCTACTTGAATGGACGGTAAAGGATAGAACAGACCAGTGTTCTCCCTCTTGGAACAAGTCGGTACAGCCGTTGAGCTGCAGCACCCAGAACAGCCGGACACCGTGACAGACCAGCCAGGAGGACGCGGTCCCCCCTGGGGTGCTGTGAGCTGGGATTTATTAGCTCCATGTGGCTTCTCCAAGGATGGACACTGATCTGCTGTTGGAACCCTCCAGTATGAAGGTGGCTTAGTAGGTCTTAGGTTTCAGTGTCTTCATTTTTCCTTTTGAGTCTGACATGTAACTTGGGTGACTTCAAAGTCTGCCTGTTCTAAGCTGTAAACTTTACCCCCTTAGAGCAAGATGCAGTTAATGAGTAAGCCACGTCCTGAACGATTTCTGGTTGTCCCAAGTGCATGGCATGGGGGTAGGAGGGCTGTGATCTTTAGGTTTAGGGTGATGGTTCTGGAGGACTCCCCATCGCCTCCACCTTCCACGAGGGCCTAGCTGTCCTTGCTAGGATCTGACATTCGAAAGTAGAGATCAATGTCTTTAACCTCAGTTTTCTGTCCCCTGACACATTGTCATCACAGAGACAACACACTGTGGTTTAATTACTTACACTTGAGTGTCTATTAAGTTATTTGGCCTTGTCCAGGCAAAGGGGAAGAGGAAGAATCCAGTTGGCAAGTGCATGTCCACGACTGCCTGGGGCTTTTCTAACCGTGTGACCGGTTGGCCCGCGTGGAAGACTCAATCAGGCGGGAATCTGAAATACAACTTTCTCCGTCTTCCTTTTAAAAGTGATCCTGACACTGTGTGAGAACTCACGTGGGTCCCAGGACTTTCCCTGTCATGAGCTGAAGGCAACAGGACGTCCTTCGGTCACTTTAGGGAGCAAGCAGTCTCATTTAGGGAACCAGAAGTATAACGATCCCACTTAATAGAGGAAACTGCTAACCTGATCTTGCGTCAAACCTCCTTCACGTTCCCCGTCACCCAGTCGCCCGAGCGCAGTGTCTGGCCTTCCGTGGCTGGCGGGGGAGGAGGGGCCAGAAAGCCCTCATCTGACTAGCTCTGTCACAGGAGGCTGTCGCTCTGGGTCTACCAGTTGTTTAAATCTGGCTTCTTCGTGTCTGCATTCCTCAGACGTTCCCAAGGGAAGCCACATGCACTGCCCATGGGCACTGTCACGTCCTTCCCGCTTCTTATGCTTTTACGTAGAGAGCAGGCCGCCTTCCTCTGGCCTGGGGCTCATCCTTCTCCCTCGCTCCAACCCCCACTCCCGTCCTCTTGGGAACCTCACGGAGGGCTGCACCGAACACCTCGGCTCTGGACATCTATCGCCTGAGGGACAGCTGGAAGAGCCATCTCAGCCCTCTGCCTGCCACAGGCTCCCTTTCGATCTGCCCTCACCGTGCTGCGAGCTCTATGGCACAGACTCTGCCCGGCAGCCTGCCACGACTCCCCTTTCCGGGCCAAATTAAGTTCAAGCTCCTTGTTTGGCGTCCACACCCCATTCCACCTACAGGTCTCCAGTCTCTCCTTCTCACCCTCCGCCCCTCTCCCGTTTCCACACATGTGAGGACAGCCGCCCTGACCTCCGGGCCTTCCCGAACAGGAAGCCCTCATGCCCCATCTCAGCTCGTTAAAGACTCCCCAACTTTCAAATCTCCATAAAGACTTTGCAAAAAGTTGCTCTTGGCAGAAGTGGTGGCTTCTTTCTCTGAACCGCGGTCATATTTTTGTTTGCCCCTTCCTGTGGTACCCGTGGCGACCTGTGGACACGCCTCAGGTACCTCACCGGACTGTGAGTCCCGCAGGGCGAGGCTGGGTGCCACCCATCTTCGCGTCTTTCCCAGCACCTAGCACAGTGCGTCACTCATGGGAGGTACTGGATAAACACTTGTCGAGTGACTGAATGAATGGGACCCACTGACTGAATTTTACTGTAACACAGAAAAGCGGAGGAAAGTCAAATCGGCTACACTCTCAACACCAACAACATACCTTGTATCTAGAACCGGCTTCTCTGTCATCTAAGCTTCTAGGTCCCTCCAAACAGGTGCTAAGGACCAGCCTTGTGCAGGACGCTTCCCCAGCTCCGAGGAGTAGATTCTCCTCAGTTCAGAGTTGAGTGTACAAGTCAAACACGTTCCGTCAGCACTGACTTGAACCTCTCACCTGCACGCTCTGAAGCCCTAGCTGATGAAGCACCTTCTGTTGGCAGCACTTTGTACAGCTCTGTGACGGTCCCATCCTACCAGCCTCCCTGTGACAAAGCACCACGTTAGTTTCTCTTTGAAATCTTGAACAACACTCTTTATAAAAGCAGCAGAATTCACACCACCCACCCCGCCCCCAGCAAACCACGAGACCAGTGCTCCACAGACACCTTCGAGCTGCTGCCCAGAAACAGCAGAGAGGGCCTGCGGTCCTTCCGGTAAGGACGAGGCAGTCAGCAGAGCCCGCTCACCACAGATCGCTAGCCCTCGGGAAGGAGGCAAGACCAGTGGGAAAGCTCAACCAACTCACAGCGACCAGCAGGTCCCAGTAGCTAAGGCACTTTGGGAAGTGAGGAAAATTCTCAGCCCGAGTTCAGACAACTGGAAAATGGCTCCTTCGCATTTTCTGAGCAACCGCGGACGGGTTCTCCATCCGAGTGCCATCTGTGATGAGGAAGACTCCTTCCCCCGGGGGTCTGGATTCGATACAAGATGATGATGCAGCTGCCAAAGCTATGAACACCAAATGGAGTCCTCTTTTCTGTCTGAGGAACTGTGACCTACATACAGCCCAGGGCCGTGTGGAAAACACGCTGCGAGCATCTTACTCTTCATAAAGCTCAGTGGGAAAGTGACAGGAGGAAAAAAAGTAAGAACCTGAAAGCATGCATTTTCATGACGTAGAAGGAATGAGCCATTTTAGCACCAGACGGAACAAACGCTAGCATGATGAAAAGCCCTCTGACCACGCGCACCAGCACGGCCGACGCGACTGTCGACATGATGACCGAACGCCTAATACGAACCGCCAGCTCAGTGTACGTCAGGGGCAAATAAGGTCCTTTCAGGTGATCGGTAGAAAATGTAGCATTGCCAAACATTAGAAGTTTTTTGTTTTTTTTTTTCCAGTTCAAATAGCAATCTTCGCAAAGCTTCAGAAAAAATAATTATTTGTGTTTTGATTTTTACACGTGAAGGGTAGAACATTTTCTGGGTGCTCTATTATCTGAGACCATGCAATCGGTGCGTTTTGCCATTAATTCTGACAAAATCATTTTACCGTCAAAACAGATCCTGACATCCCAGAATCGATACTGTCATGAATTCTGCATTCGTTTTTAGAGACCGGCTCACATGTTGTCATTTGACATAAAACTGATTCCTTGGCCCAAAATCCTGGGATGAAATTAATTTCTTTAAACATTTCAGATAGGAAACCTGGATTTCATTATCAGACAGCCAGGTCTCTCTGTTTTTCCACAGGATGTGCTTTAAGGGAAGATTAGCTTTACTTAAAAACAAAAAGGAAACAGAACGGAACAATATTAACAAGATGTAGCAGAGACTTTAAAACCAAGTGGCCTTTGGAACAAAAAGTTGAGACTCTTTTCTCATATCAAAACAATGCCGGTCATCCGTTAGTGTTCTGCCTGCAAATGGATATACATACGAAAGAATAAGAACCTAAAAGCATGCACTTGGCCTATGTTTGCTATTTGTGTTCTGTCCTGTACATATGAAAGCTTAAGCCCGAGAATACTATTCTTTATACCTCTAAATGAGCATGCAGTTAAGGTTTGTTTAGGAAGGGGAAATGGCCTTGCTTCGACGATGCTGCACGCAATGAGGTTTTCTGTTTCAGAAATCACAGAGTTAACCTACTATTTTAAATTTCGGAGTCTTGATTGCAATGTATTTCCATAATAAATAGTTAAGGCAAACGATCGTAAATTGAAATACTCTGAGCCAATGACTCACGTGTCTGAAATAATAACAGGGGAGCTTTGTGAAGAGTGGAGGTTGTAAGGGTTGTAATAAAAATGATCTTTTTCCTTTTCATATGAGTCACTGCGAAATAAATGCATTTTTCATTTATAGGCAGGGACATAAACACCATTAGTTTTATGATTTGTTCCTTAATTACATACTTAAAAATATACCACTACGGGGCAAAGATAAGCACATTACTCAGAGACAAATGGAGGAAAAAATGGATTCAGAAATAACATCCACTCACAACTCTAGAATGGGAAAAAAACCAAATAGACGATTTCATAAAACTCCCAAGAGAGCCAATCGCCTACAAGATACACCATGGCAGCACCCACTGTTTGCAAAGCCCCTCCTTACGAACTGCACATAATAATGAATCTACCAATATTATATTGAAGGAGGGAACGTAAGCAAATAGACCCAGGGGCCAAAGGAGAAAAATATAACAGGAAGAAAACTGGAAGGAACATCTCAAGTGCAGAGAGAAGGGATGGGCGAGATGTGGAACTCACACACAGGTCTGCAGACTGCAAGGACGACTCGCCGCATTGCATCGTCAAAAGCCCTGCAGGCTCATTTTGACACGTCTCCGTCTACTTTGTCATGACAGCAGTAGCTTTTAGGCTCACAGAGGGAAGAAGGCCGGAGAAGGCCCCGCCCCCACCCCAGAGGACAGTCCTAAGGAGTCTAGTTTCTCTCTGCAGGCCCTCCAGCTGGGTGCCTACCCCAGGGATGTCTCCAAACAGCACAGCCTCGCCTGAAGCCTGTAGAGCTCCCATGTGACAAAGTTCATGTCATCATTGTTAATTCGGGGGCCCCAGACCACCTGGATTGGTCCGGTTCCATTCCCAGACACAGAACCTGGGAATCTGTAATTTAAAAATACAGGCTTCGAATCACAGTCTGTCAATAGCCCAATAAACCCATCTACTATTGAGAACGTGCAAGGGCTCGTTAAGGAAAACTGTGATGTTTCAAAGGTTTTGCTAAGTGACGGTGAGTTTGCTTTAAAATTCCAGGAAGCCAAAGGTTTCTGGCTAGTGTGTGAACCACAGGGGAAAGCGGTATTTCTCTGCCCTAAAACTGGCTCTTTAACAACCTAACGTGACTGCTCAGACCCGACAACCATGCATGCCAGACTTTCCATTAGCGTCCTGACTCAAATGATCGTGTCATTTTCAGATGGTGCACGGCCAGCGAACTAACTAGCCATAGTAGCCAATATCTAGCTTTTCTTGCTGAACCCATAAGAACCTGGCAGAACAAGACAGGTTCCTGTGCAAAGTTCCCTGCCTCGGGGCCTGCTGGGCGTGTGTGCCGGGATGGTCTTCATCCAGAAGAGGGATTTGCTCTGGCCCCAGACCTTAGAACCCTAAGGTGTGCATCTGAAAGGGCGTGAGCTCCCATGTTGGCAGCTCCACACAGGGAAGTCTTAGCAGGGCTTCAGCTCTACTCGTAATTCTGTTTCTCGTTACATCTAAGGTACCCAAATTCAGATGTGCCGGTAAGGGAACTTGTGCCAAATTAGACGATGTTCTCTGTTCTCTTGGGATTTTTAAAATACTTATTCAAAGAGGTATTTTTAGATTTATTTAGACACCATTTTAAAATTGTCTACCCCTATTGTGCAGGTATTTCAAAATCGTGAGTGAAATAAAATGGTCAGAGGTGACCTGAAACACCTTCACACGTAGAGTCTGACTTAGTTCTGAGTCGCTTTTTGACTCCGCGGTGACCAGGTCTGAGGGGTTGGTTTTCCGCCCAGTGTTGACTTGGCGCCATCCGAAGCAACAGCCTCGGACGCCTCTCCTTGCTTCTGCTCCTGTCCCTGCCAGCTGGCCCACCCGCAAGACACGCTGTGAAAGCCTGTCAGAGCATGTCACTCTCCTGCTCGAAATGAATGCCCACGTCCTCTTGGAGGCCACCAAGCCATGTGGTGGCTTCTTCCCTCATCTTCTACTCCACCGCTTTGTCCACTCTGCAGGCCCATGCTCGGGTCCTCTGCCTCTGCCGTGTCCTCTGCCTGGGACGCGCTTCCTGCAGAGAGCCACGAGGCTCCCCCACCTCCTCCACGCCTTTGCTCACACCCCACGTTCTCGGTAGAGCCTGCTCTGACCACAGTAACAGGTACAATCTCAGCCCTCCTGACACCAGCCCCGCTGCACCCCAGTCCCCTGCAGGCTTCATTTCCCCTCATGTCATGTCCCCCGCTTGGCAGGGGACATGCTCACCTCTTTACTGTCTGGCTCTCCCACTAGAAAAAAAGCTCAGAGCGATGAGGAATTTTGTCTGCTTGTTCACAGATGTAACCCGGTGCCTAGGATTGGCACCGGGTTACATCTGTGAACAAGCAGATTGGCATAGTCAGCCATCAACGAATATTTGTCGAATGAACTAAAAAACACAGACTACAAAGGGAAGGTGAGAGGATCCCATTTTTGTTTCAAATACACATTTGCATTCATAGTTGGAAGAATACGCCCTAAAATATTACTTCATTGTGAGTGTGATTTGTGTGCTTTTTGGTGGTTTCTAAATTTTCTCAATTAAACACGACTAATTTTTGCAGTGGAAAAATATACGATTAAAAATAAATGCATAAAAACACTGAACTAAAAAAGGGGGGATTGCCAGAATATTAAAATCTGCCAGTTCTTTTTCAAAATCAACCATCGATAAAAAAGATGCATCTTCCATGTTGGATGAAACCGTCAAGCCGGAGCCCTCACCCTCTGCAGGTTTGCCTCATATTGCCCTAATCAGACTGACGTATTTTGGGGTACGGAGTATCATATATTGAAGAATGCAAAACCCCAGTTATCCCCCATCTCACCTCTCGTCTGTACACCGTTTCTCACGGGAAGTCAATTGGAGGCAGATCTTCTGCCATCGTTATAGATTTCCATCTGAAGGTGGACCTTTATATATTAAAGGGAGAGACAACTATACCCTGGTGGCCCCTATGCCACACTGAAAAAAAACAAAATGAAACCCAGGGGGACAGCTGAGAAGGTGGCCTGAGATGCAGAGCCACACGCCATCCCCGGGCACAGCCCCCCACTTCCCAGCAAATGCTCTGGAGATTCAGAGTCTCAGGCTCATGGCAGCTTCGCCTTTTCCTTCCTTGGGTCGGGGCTGGGTCCAAGGACAGCAGGAGGAGGAAGGGGGTCTTCGGGAACGAGAAGGGACGAAAAGCTACACGAACTAAACCTCCCAGACACTGGCGATGTCCACGAAGTTGAACCGAATGCTTCTTATGTCAGATATGAGCAAC